TCAGCTTACAGAAATGCAAGATTCTCTTCTTTTCCTTCATTCGGATTTATAAAAGGATGACACCCCATCCTTGAGGGCCCCTCAACACCGACCGGACGACACGATGAGAGGATGTAAATTGGACTATAATCACAATCTGACAGATAGAGAGTGGGGCTCTGTCCCCGGTACTTGCAGAGGTCCTAATGCATTTTTCAGCATAGTAACCCCTCATCGCAGTTGTCGGGATTTGAACCCGAGACCTAACCCTTGTGGCACTCCCTTGCTACCAGTTGAGCTACGCCCACCGGTTCCATTCGGATTTATATACATAAGTATATATGTACTCGGTGAAAAATATTTACCAGTTACCACACTTTAATATTGGTAATAATTAAATACTCTCTTCCTTCCGAAAACAAGTTCTCACTTTCCTTATTTGGATGCTTCAAAATAAACTTCTCACTTCCGTATTTGACGAATTATCTACATCAAAACAGTGTCAAATAGTGCCAAACAGTGTCGAAACAGTGTCAAAACAGTAAAATTTACCCCTCAGTAACTCTATTTCTTTAAAATATGTGAAAGTCAATCCGGAAACTTGTTTCTGGGACGGAGGGAGTACTAGTTAGAAATTATCCAAACGCGTAAAATGCTATTTGCAACTTGTGTAGTACTAACATATATAGTGTGATTTGTATTTTGTAAATTATTTTGCTCATAGAATTAATAAGTAAATTATAAAGCAATTGTTCAACGTATAGTACATGCAATAAACTTAATTATGTCTTTGGGGTTCACTAGGGTTGTTTACTTTCGACATATTAGATTTAATGAGAACAATGACGTAATCATCATTCAACCGTTAAGTCATGTTTACTTACGAATTAATTGAAAGCACAACTTAATCATTCAGTGAAAAATGTTGCTTAATCATTAAGCTGGAATATAGTATTCGTTCCCTCCTATTAAGAAGTCTTTTGTGTTATTTTTTTTTGTGTTGATTAATGAAACTTACTTTACAACTAAAGAATAACAATAATTGATTATTGTACTCAATTCAAACCGTCTATTTAGCACATAACGTAAACAATTTCATATACAAATACTACTTAATCCAGACAAATGTTTTAATCCACTTCATAGAAAAAAGTAAACAATCCTAATTTTAGTGATGAGCAAGACAAGATAAGCAAAATAAAGCACACAGTAATTTCTGAGATATTGTATGGCCAGTTCATGCATGTTGGATAATCTAAGTATCACCCAAACGCTCCGTATATTCCAAAACCTAGTCAAGACTTCATGCGATGGCGCCGTATAGCTAGAAAGAGATGTGCATGCAATATCATATAGTGCGTACGGAGTATAATATTAGAAGAAAAGTTTGAAACACAAATCCGATAATTCTCACTACCAAGAATCTTGTAAAGTTTGTTTATTCCAACTACTAATCAAGTAAACAGCAATACACTTTAAAAGTTTTTATTGAGAGGTTCAAGCTAGGGACGGGTTATTGTTTCTAGAAGATGGGGAAATCAAAAGAAAAAAGCTAGTACATAAATAGTACTCCCTCCGTAACTTAAAAATCTTCTCACTTTTCTTTTTCGTCTGTAACAAAAAAATCTTCTCATTTCTAAATCTTCCCATCATATCCTCAATAATTCTTAAAATAATACACTATTACAACTTTTTTTTGGATTTATCCTACATTCCACCACATTATTATTCCACTATTTTCCCATCATACCCTCAATAATTCATGTCATCTTTCACTATTCTTAATCTACCTACTTTTGAAATGGGAAGATTTTAAAGTTACGGAGGGAGTATATGGGAAGTTCTCATGTGAGTAAAAGCAATGTAAATTCCATAAGAAAGAGCACTATGTTTTTCAAATAGGAGTACATTATTGTAAGTTTTGAAGATTTATTGTGATATGAAATACGTAGTACTTCGTATCAAGCTTTAACTGTAACAATATACTGGTATAATTGATACTAACGTAGTATTTTCTAAACATGAGTACACCAAAGCGCATTTACTTTAAACGGTATGCGCATTTTCGTATAACACCAAACTCATTTAATATCCTCCATGAGTACTCATTTTAAAACATTATATCAATACACATGTCCTATAAACATTATACTCATTTGAGTATAAGATAAAACTCATAAATTCATCAATACACATGTCCTATAAATTACATATGATAAATTCTTTTACTCAATCATTATACTCATTTGAGTATAAGATAAAACTCATAAATTCATCAATACACATGTCCTATAAACTACATATGATAAATTCTTTTACTCAATTATTAGTACTCCGTATATTTTATAATGAAAATTACTAAGAAAATTTATTTATAATAAGTAGTTTTTATGCAAATGCATCAAACAATAAAATAATTCATCAAGAAAAGAATGAACATTCACTTTGGAATTTTTTTCAAACACTTGATGGGCATTCAATATTATTTAGAAAATAATTTCAAAAATCTGGAGTATTACTAATGAAAGAGGTATAGATATTTTAATCAAGTTATCATCCAATTTATACTTAAAAGGGGAGGAAATTCACTAGAAGTAAATTAAAAATTGTTGATATTAAAAAAAAAAGTAAAGGAGAAGAAATAAAAAGAAAGAAAGAAGAAATAAATTAAAATGAAGGAATGAGAGCCGCAGATCACGATCAAGCAGAAGCAACAAATGAAGCAATCAAGAGCAACATGCCATCATAGTTACATTATATTACAAAAATATCGGGTGTATATGTACACCTGGGTGTACAGTATATATTGCCCATGATATTGTATATTCCTAAACAGAGAAAACGCCTTGCATCATTGAGCTTAGTGTCAATCTAACAACTAATTGAGTTATAATCATAACCTAATTAATTACAAAGGAATAAATAATGATTTTATATCTCACAAGTTCAATTCTACCGAGAGATTTTGAGTGAAACAATTAGCATTGTGATCATACACTTATTCGCGACACTCGAGAGGAAACCAATCTTGGCGATGTGTGAACTAGTGACGGGACTGAAGGACGATGGTTCTTACTTCTTAGTGAGCGGTCACTTTAGAGAGATTTAGTTAGTGTTGACGCGCTAGTGGAAGAAATTAAGAACACAATCCTCAATATGCACATCTGGCGCACTACAAAAAAAATTACAGGATTGACACGGATTTGACACAAATTTATCGATAATTTTGTGTCAAATACCTCTTGCCAAAGTGTTTTTGACACATGTTTGACATATCCCTACAAAATATTTCATGATTTTTTTTAAATCTCTACTAAAAATCTCTTTCAATCTCGTATTTTTTTTGTAGTGGCGATTTCATAGAGACGGATTCAAGAGACGGATTCAACTCAAAACACATCTATTTAGAAAACGGGGAACAAAAGTTTAAAGAGTTTGGGGGCTAGGGGCAACTATGGGACGACGAAATAAACAATAATGGCACAATCATTTTTGGGCAAGCAAATGAATGGCTGTAAAGGCGATACGCTTTTTTTTCTCCCTCTGATCTGGAGTCAATCCCTTTGAGATTTTAATCTTGATTCTGTCTTTTATTTTATTTTATTACTGTACCTTTTGTAAGTTTAATAATAACGTTGTTACGTACAGAATGCATGTGATACTAATAATAGGGGGTGATACGCGATAGTATATTACTATCTATAATAATTAATAATGTGTATATACTGGATCGTAAAAAGGTGGGTGAATCACAGAGAGCAGACAAGTTTGTGCTATTCCACAATGTGCATCAAAAGTTGCACTTCAAACAAAAAGAAAGAAACTAAAGGGGACTTTTTTATTCCTGAAAAAGAAGATAATAATTGCCTTAGCTTAGTTTCTTCCCATGTAATTATACTGTACCATGCACCAACGTTCGGTCATAGGATCAAGGATTGTTAGATGTCTAAATCCGTTGCGCCCGACCTACACTCAAACCGACAACTTTCACCATCACAACAACCATAGTTAATGGAGTAATTCATTATTACAAGTACTTCTGATCATCTGATGGCTTTACCATTGACCTCTTGTAAAGTGGAGCGCATGAAGGCCCGTTTGATAACACTCAAATTGACTGAATCAGTTGAATCCGATGAAATTAATGAAATGTTATCTGAAACGGCAGAATTAGTTGAATTTGCTGAATTATGAGAAAATAATATTTGAAATGTGTTTTATTAATGGATTAGAAAAAATTATATAAATGATAGTTAAAATGGTTCTCTGTAGTAACTTCAATCAATTCAAGCAGAAAAATGATTTTAAGCTTACTTATTTTTATGTTTACACAATTCAGCACGTGAAATAAAAATTATATACGGAGTATTTGATAGGAAGATGATTAATAAAGTTAATAAGCTGAACATATGAGTTATCAAATAGGCTCTGGGTCTACCTAATACTCCGTAAAAAATTGACATTATCTTTGAATGGGAATTTGAATTTGCACCACACTTTTTGGATGGTATTAGACTTTACACCTCATTGTGAAAAAATTTTGATTTTGCACCCCAACACATTATAACATTTTGTGAAGAAAAATTTCTGAATGGGGTGTATAGTCCAAGGATATTTAAGTCCAATGGGGTGAAAATGAAAGTTTTTTTTTTTGAAAATAGGATGCAAAGTCGTCTAATATCATCTAAAAAGGCAATCCCGCTATCGTTAAACATATGATCGAAGTACTCGGTATTATACTACGGAGTATAATAGGTCGGAAGGGTTGTCAACAATATTATTACTACACTAATTTGTCCTAGTTTTGTCGAAATTATAAATTTAGTTCTTCCTCATTTTAAAATTTACGTGTCCTATATGGCTATTGTGAAAGTATATTAGAATATACTTTAGAATATGCTTTAGAATATATTAGGAATATACCATATATAGTATTATTGTATAGCATCTTTTTTAGGAATATTCTATCTTTGTAATCTATATTTATAGGGCCTTACCCTTCAATGAAATACACAGAAAATCTTTCCTCCTCTCTTCAATATTATATTTTGTAGTTTATATTTCAATATGGTATCAGAGACATCCATTTCAGTTTAGTTTCAGATTTCAGTTTAGTCATTCATATCTCAGTTTAGTTTCCAGACTGGGTTCTTTCTCCAAGAGCTGATTTCATTCCACAACCTTCAGAACCTCTTCCCAAACCATGAGTTAACTCCAGAACATTACACACCCTTCTGTCTCCAAGAAACTCACTTCTACAGAACCTCTATCCAGACTCTTATTCCAGAACATCAAAAGACCCTAGAACCAGATTCTTAATCCAGAAAATCAATTAGCTGCTACTTTCCAGAAAATCAATTAGCTGCTAATTTCTCACAAACTCAATTCAGTTAACTTTATAGCCCAAGATTCTTTAGGCCAGAATTTGAGTCACAACCATACTCAGGAGGTGCGCCTACCTTAGACGACCCAGCAGCCGAAATCTGACACCCAACTGGAAGGAGAGCGTGCTACACGCGCCACCACAAGTTTGACGCGTGACACCTCTTCTCTGGCCGGAGATTTGATCGGAACCCTTCAACAAGCTCGGTCCTCTACCATCAGGTTATGTTACTTCACTCTCGCTCTTTCTCTACAAAGGGACAATAGCTGAGGGAGGAAGTGTAGTGGTTGGTCGCTCGCCGGGGTCTGGCATCGAAGTATCCAGACATACGCACGCTAGGTCTGGCATCGAATATTTGTGGACATACGCATATGTCATTTATTCGTTTATACGTCGCTGGGGGATACGCAGGCTCTTTCGTTTATTCCTTGGGCGTCTGGAATCGGACTTCTGTCTGAGTCAAAGCTCAAGTAAATTGGAACATTTATTCTCCAAGGTCCAGTCCACAAATGGGCTGTCGTAAGTTTTCTCAATTTTTGAACTTCATTACATTCTCATTACAAAAATTCAAAAAAAAAGTTATTAAAAAAAACAAAAAAAATGTCTTGTACGGATCAATTTGACAGAGGAGTAGTATGCAATTACTGCAAGAAGCCCGGGCACTTGATTACAGAATGCAGAAAATTGCTGTTCAAAAATCAAGGAAATCAGCTAGCTCATGTTGCTTCCGCTCCCAGTTCATCTGATGGATCAATTGCCATTTCTTCAGACGAGTACGCCAAATTTATTTGCTACCAAGAATCTCTAAAGCATTCCTCTGTCCCTACTTCGGTAATTGCTAATTCAAGTATTTCAAACACATGTCTTGTTTCATCATCCTCGAAATGGGTCATTGACTCAGGTGCCACAGATCATATGACCGGTAATCCTAGTCTATTCTCGTCATTTCATTCATATTTACCTACTTCTAGTGTCACTTTAGCTGATTGATCTACCTCACCCGTTCTTGGATCTGGTACTGTTGTTCCAACCTCTACATTACCATTATCGCCTGTTTTGAGTCTTCCTAATTTTGCATTTAATCTGCTTTCCATCAGTAAAATCACTCGTACTCTTAATTGTTCTATAACATTTTTTCCTGGATATTGTGTGTTTCAGGATATGTTAACGAAGCAGATTATTGGTAAAGGACATGAGTCAACTGGTCTTTATATTTTGGATACATCCATCACAAAAAGTATCTCTTGTCTTGGGGTTGGGACTTTGTTAGATGCTCATTACCGATTAGGACATCCATCTCTCTCATTAATGAAGCAAATAAATCCCCAATTTAATAAGATGACCTCTTTACAATGTGAGTCATGTCAATTTGCGAAACACCATCGTACTAGCTTAAGCTCGCGAGTTAATAAATGAGCAAATGCTCCATTTGACCTTGTTCACTCTAATGTTTGGGGTGCTGCCGGTTGTTTCTAAAGCTGGTTTTAAATATTTTGTTACCTTTGTTGATGACTATTCTCGTATGACATGGTTGTATTTCATGAAACGTCGATCTGAGTTGTTCACTCATTTTTCTTCCTTTTGTGCTGAAATTAAAACTCAGTTCAACATTCCTGTTCGGGGTGTTAAGAGGAGACAATGCCTAGGAATATCTATCTGCTACATTTAAGTCATTTATGCTTCAACATGGCATTATTCATCAAACTTCATGCATTGACACACCTCCTCAAAATGGAGTTGCAGAACGAAAGAATCGACATCTATTAGAAACTGCAAGGGCTCTTCTATTCCAAATGAATGTGCCTAAACAGTTTTGGGCAGATGCCGTGTCTACTGCATGTTTTTTGATAAATTGAATGCCATCTTCTGTTTTGAATGGTAAAGCTCCTTATCATTGTCTATTTCCAAACAAAGAGCTTTTTCCTATCCCACCTAAAATATTTGGTTGCACTTGTTTTGTTAGAGATGTTAATCCTCATCTTACAAAGTTAGATCCCAAATCATTAAAATGTATTTTCTTGGGTTATTCTCGAGTCCAAAAGGGGTATATATGTTTTTGTCTGAGTACTGGTCGGTATCTTGTTTCTATTGATGCATCATTTCATGAAAATACACCTTTTTCATCATCTAAGCCAGATATTCATGAGTAATGATGATATACTCATTTACACGATGACTATTTCTGAGTCCACACTTTCAACAAATATTCCACAAGTAACTGTTCCTGACCCTAGGCCTCCCGTACATTTGGTATACACCCGTCGACACAAAGCACCTGATCACCCTCCACCGGCGATACCTATGATTACTTATCCTGATACTAGTTCAACTCTGATCTCATGTCCTGAACCAGTACCCGCATCTTCAGATCTTGTCTCTACATCAGATCTTGACCTCCCAATCGCACTACGTAAAGGTACACGGTCTTGTACTCATCCTATTTCTTCATTTGTGTCGTACAATCAGTTATCTCCTGCTTCATGTTCTTTTATTGCTTCCATTGATTCTATTTTTGTTCCCAAATCTGTCAAATAAGCTTTGTCTCAACCTGCATGGCGTCATGCCATGGTAGAGGAAATGAATGATTTAGATCTTAATGGTACTTGGGATTTGGTTGACTTGCCTACAGGGAAGAAATCTATTGGATGTAAGTGGGTCTTTGCTGTTAAGGTAAACCCAGACGGATCTGTTGCTCGGTTGAAAGCCCGATTAGTTGCGAAGGGTTATGCTCAAACCTATGGTGTTGATTATTCTGACACTTTTTCTCCTGTTGCTAAATTAACATCTGTCAGGTTACTTATTTCACTCGCTGCAACTCACGATTGGCACTTACATCAGTTGGACATTAAAAATGCATTTTTGCATGCTGACCTTAAGGAAGAAGTCTATATTGAGCAACCTCCGGGATTTGTTGCTCAGGGGGAGTATGGTAAAGTTTGTCGACTTCGCAAATCTCTTTATGGTCTGAAACAGAGTCCTCGTGCATGGTTTGGATAATTCAGTCAATCAATTGAACAATTTGGAATGATAAAAGGCAAATCAGATCATTCTGTCTTTTACAAACAAACAGAATCAGGTGTCACATTGCTTGTGGTGTATGTTGATGATATTGTGATTACAGGGAGTGATAATGCAGGTATTTTGGCCCTTAAGAATTTTCTGCATAGTCAATTCCAGACAAAAGATCTTGGCTCTTTGAAATACTTTCTGGGAATTGAGGTAACACGAAGTAAGAAAGACATATTTCTATCTCAACATAAATATGTACTTGACTTACCAGCTAAGACAGGGAAATTAGGGGCAAAACCAAGTACAGCACCCATGGTTCCCAACGTGTAACTCACTCAAGAAGGCACACCGTTTGAAGGCCCAGAAAGATATAGAAGACTGGTTGGAAAGCTTAATTATCTCGCAGTCACTCGTCCAGATATTGCCTTTTCTGTGAGTGTAGTGAGTCAATACATGTCATGTCCAACCATTGATCATTGGGCTACAGTAGAACACATATTATGTTACTTAAAGGGTGCACCAGGACAAGGTATTGTTTATCAAAACCATGATCACATGAGAATAGAATGTTTTTCAGATGCTGATTGGGCCGGTTCTAAAGTATGATCGAAGATCTACATCTGGTTATTGTGTCTTTGTTGGTGGTAATCTTGTATCTTGGAAGAGTAAGAAGCAGAATGTAGTTTCTCGTTCGAGTGCTGAATCAGAATATTGAGCTATGGCACAACCTGCATGTGAGATCATATGGATAAGACATTTATTGACCGAGCTCGGACCGAAGACATCAATGCCTGCTAAATTGTGGTGTGATAACCAAACTGCTATACACATAGCAAACAATCCTGTATTTCATGAGAGAACAAAGCATATTGAGGTCTGTTGAGATATTGGGTCCAGGCCCAATATCCCTAGGCCCAAATCCAGGAAGAAACAGCGGGCCCAAATCCAGTCCAAAAGAACTCTCGAACGGCATTCGGGATAGAAGTTATACTTGGAACATTCCGGGAAACAATTATGCCAAATCATCAAGGCCATGTATCGATCAGCGTTCGGGACACTTCCATTAACTAGATCACCTATGGCGGAGATACCGATCGGCGTTCGGGATATGTTCCTAAGCAGGATAACACCTATGACGGGGTCCCACACACCGAACACCCTGCCCGAACGGGCAATCATCAAGTGGAAGCCGCATTTAATGCTGGATCATGGCAGCAGCAAGTGGGGGCATGGGTGCTTACATGGCAGAGGTGATAGCCTACCAGATTCGACCACGTGTCCACCTTACCCATCCCCATTTTAGTATAAATATCCATGTTTAGATCATTGTAAAGGGTTAGCGTTTTAATACTCAGAGCTTAAACAATAGATTTACATCTCCCATCCTTGTAATCTCATATTCGGCTACCGTTCGGGTAGTTTCAGTGTAATTGCTTAATTACCGAATATAAGTAAGTTCTTGAGTTGGATATTATCTCACTATTTTATATTTTATACACATTTCAACCCTACCCAATATCCCTACAATATCCAAGGCTTGTGTTGGGCTTTCGGATCTTCGGGAATAAACTCCAACATTGGCGCCGTCTGTGGGAAACCACACTAAAAGTCCAGGCAAAACCGAGATCTAAGCACCATTTTTTCTTGAAAATGGCTAGACTTACTACCGCGACACAGAGTTCTACGTCCAGAGGCCGAGGAGGCAATAGATCCTCTGAAGGGTGGTCCAGGCAAGGACACGCCAGTGGCAGTGCCACCCGGGAGTTCGAGCAAATCATCCCCCGGGAGGTAAGGATGAACCCTCAGTTGATGAGGGAGATGGCGGAGGCCATGCAACGCATGGCGGACGAACAGGAACGGGGCTACGCCGATGAAACTCATGAGCCACCATCCCCGTTGCGTCCCATGCCATCTTTCGACGAAGAGGAGGACATCGAGACTACGATGGCCTCAGTACATTCCGAGGAGCGCCGCAGGAACCACTGGAGGGCCCATACCCCCAGACGAGGAGCACCAACCAGCCGAACCCCGTCCGCCCCTCAAAACGGATACAGGGAACCTACCCCTATGGTAGATCCCGTTGGACAAAACTTCCAGTATATCCAGAGGGATGGGGAACGCTTCATCCGGAGGAGGGCTAACATAGCTGCTCCTCCCCAGAACAGAATACCGGAATATACGGATGCTAGAATACCACCCACTCCCCGAACGGCCCAAGACGACGAAATGGCCGAAATGAGGAGACAGATGACTGAGCTCAGGGAGCAGGTCAATCGGGCGCCCCAACAAACCCCGCCAGCACGGGTTGGGATCACCTCTCCCTTCACTAGGGAGATCATGAACGCCGAAATCCTGAAGGACTGCCGTCCCTCGACCGGCTTGGCATACGATGGGGTGGGAGATCCCCACGTGCACCTGAGAAGTTACCAGGGTGGCCTCATGCTATTGGGGGCCACCGATGCGGCAATATGCAGGCTGTTCTTCAGTACCCTTCGGGGACCAGCCCAGGAATGGTTTGGGACATTACAACCCGGGTCGATCGGGAGCTTTGCGGAGCTGTCCACCTTGTTCTTGGCTCAGTTCGCCTCCAGCACCACCCCAAAGTTACACTTCGGGTATCTAACCAGTGTGAGGCAAGGGCCTAGAGAATCAATCTCCGGATTCCTCACCAGGTGGAGGACCGAAACCCTGAAGGTGACCGGCATGACGGATGAGACTGCCATCCTTCTTTTCACCGATGCCCTTCAGACGGGAGATTTATACAGAGAGCTGAAGAGGAACCCGGGGACCAGCTACCCAGACATCCTGGAAAGGGCCAGGAACTATGCGGCTCTGGAGGAAGAAATCAGGATAAGGGACCGAACGACCCCGCAACCTCCCACTTCGAGACTGGCAGAACGTCTGGGACCCACACCAGCGGCTGCAGCACCTCATCGAAGGACTACGCGCTTCACCCCCCTGGTCATGTCTATAGCTGGTGTTTTCCATTTGGAACACAACGCCATTCCTCCCCCTACTGACACAAGGCCTGTGATGGGACCTACCCCAAGCTCCTATTGCAGATACCATCAGCGGAATGGGCACCTCACGAAGGATTGCCACGCCCTACATATGGCAATTGAGGACCTGATCCAAAAGGGCTACCTGAGGAAGTATGTCAGCACCAACCTGAACAGCACTTCCCCCAACCAGCGCCCTCCCCGATCCAATAGCTGGAAGAGGGATGCCCAGCGGGATGCAGAACCCAGAAATGATTCATACCTTCCCCCTATAGAGGAGGCTGAGGGGTCTGGAAATCCGGGAAAAAAGCCACGGTTGGAGGTAAAAGTCATCTTTGGTGGAGGGGAGACCGGTGATACGGCCGCCGAACGTAAGAAATTTGAGCGCAGCCTCTATGTCGCCACTGTAGCTGCACCTCCCACAAAGAAGGGCCGCTTGGAGCCAATTACGTTCGGGGTGGCTGATCTACCCAACTCACCAAGTCCGCACAGGGACGAGTTAGTGGTGAGCATGTGTATAGACAACGCCTTGATCCACCGAGTTCTGGTGGACACGGGAAGCAGTGTGAACGTGCTGTATTTACGCACGATGGAGAAGATGAAGCTGAAGAAGGACCAGCTGACCAAGCTGAAGACACCGCTGGCTAGCTTCACCGGCAATGTAATAGAGGCAGAGGGCACCATCCAGCTTCTGGTAGAAATTGGCGATGAAACCCACCGAGCGGCAGTCCGGATGACATTTGTGGTGGTGGATATCGCATGTGCCCACAACGCCATATTGGGCCGTCCGGGGCTAGAAGATTTGGAGGCAATTGCCTCTGTTCGACACTCATGCATCAAGTTCCCAACTGACACTGGTGTAGGAGTGGCTCGAACAGATCCTGCCATAGCCCGAACGTGCTACCGGGAAGCTTTAAAACAAATGACCACCCGGGGACAGCGGGTAAACAGCATTGAGGTACAGACCCGGCGTACGGAGTTCGAGGGACGCCCCGAGCCAGCCACCCTCTTAGAATACATCGAACTTGATTCCCCTCCCGATCGTAAAATTGCGATCGGGGTGGACCTTGAAGGGGGAATCAGGGAGGGGGTGATCGCTGTCCTGAAGAGATTCCAGGTCCTATTCGCCCGAGGACCCGAAGACATGCCGGGAATTGATCCGTCCCTCATCTGCCACAAGTTGGCCGTTCGACCTGATGCCAGGCCAGTCCAACAAAAGAAGAGATATCAGGCGGCCGAACGGCGGGAATTCACAAAGCAGGAGGTAGCCACCTTACTAAGAATCAGGCACATTAGACCAGTCATCCATGTCGAATGGTTGGCTAATGTGGTCCTTGCTCCAAAAGGATCTACTTGGAGAATGTGTGTGGACTACTCCGATCTGAACAAAGCCTGCCCCATGGACCCCTATCCGGTCCCACGAATAGACCTGCTGGTGGACGAAACAGCGGGATGTGAACTGCTGAGCTTTATGGATGCCTTCCGAGGTTATCACCAAGTCTTCATGCACCCAGATGATGCAGAAAAGACTGCGTTCGTCACCTCGGACGGCGTGTTCTGCTATATCGTCATGCCGTTCGGGTTGAAGAATGCAATGGCCACTTTTCAAAGAATGATCGGCATACTCTTCAAGGAGGTATTAGGGGTAACCATGGAGGCATATGTAGATGACATCCTAATCAAGAGTAGAAAGAAGGAAGATCATGTCCGGGATATGGAAAGGGTCTTCGGGATCATGCAGAGGGCCAACATGAGACTGAATCCAAAAAAGTGCGCCTTCGCAGTCAAGGGGGGCAAATTTCTGGGTTATATGATGAGCGAGCGGGGGATTGAGCCTAATCCTGAGAAAGTAAAGGCAATCATGGACATGGAAGCACCGCGGAACTTGAAGGAAGTTCAGAAGTTGACCGGAAGGTTAGCGGCTTTGAGCCGGTTTATGGCTAAACTGGCCGATCGCGCCATTCCATTTTTCCAAATAATGAAAAAGGCCAACCCGTTCGAGTGGACAACAGAATGCCAGGCAGCTTTTGAAGAATTCAAATTGTACCTGTCTTCCCCCCTGGTCTTAACTAAAGCAGACCCAGGGGAACATCTCTATATGTATCTGGCTGTGGCTGATCTGGCGGTCAGCTCTGTTTTATTAAAGGAAGATGAGGGCGTTCAGCGCCCTATATACTTCGTGAGCAAAGCCCTGAACGGGCCAGAAACCAGGTACAC